TTGAGAAGTTGTAAAATAAGGCTATTGGCAACAGAGTCTCATTGGGAGCTGGCAAAATTCTTTGGGGATCCTGACTGCCTCTGAGCAGTTTCTGTGCATGGGTGGAGGGCTTCAGAGAAGGCAAAGGAAGATACAAGGGATCACCTATCATAGTTAATACAAAATGTATATATAGAAAGAAGGGGAAGGGGCAGGCTTCTGGGTTCAGGAGTCTACAACCCCCTCCCCATCTACCCTTCTGCATTTATCATCCAGCCTGCGCATATCCTGTGGTGGTATGGTCTTTACTTAATTTGCCATTTACGATGCATTTTTCAGTAGAATTTTCCTGTTTAAAGTGAAAGGGTGTGGGAGGACAGGCATGGGGGTTGCGCACATACGCCCTCATGAGTTCAAATAGGGTCTTGAAGGAAGAGGTTATTGGTAGCACAGGACTCTGGGGTCTGGAAGTCATCATGTTTGTTTCCTAGAAACTTCTCTGTTTACTTGAATGTTGACTCTGAGAATCCTCTGGACCCCTCTTGGGGGACTATTTGTAGCCCCAAAGAAAGTAAAGGCTTCATATTTTCCAGTTGTTGGTGTTCAAGAAAGCAGCGTGTTTTCATTGAGTAGTTTTGCCCAGAGTTCAAAGCAATGGTCTGCTGCACATTTCACTGGCAGCTGCACGGCTCTACTGGGGCTCCATGCCCAGGGGCTCCATAGTGTCTCATGGGTCCCTGATGTTGAGGGCTTCAAGAAGCACCAGCGGTGACTCTGACATGCAGCCAGAGTCCAAATTGCTGCTGCTGCACTTGCTGTTGCTCCTGTGCCTGATTAGGGCTTGGTTGTTAGGACAGTGGCCTTTGGGACCTGGGCCAGTCCCTGCAGGAAGAGCTGTCTCTCGTGCTGGCCCAAGGGCTGTAGTAGTTCAGGCTCTGATTGGGCTTCTGTCACCCAGGGTAGCCAGCTGAGCTTCACTGCTTGGCTGCTTGCCTCAATGAGTGGCGCACTGGGGACCTGGTTCCTGCAAGCCTGTGCCCTTGCCTTGCCCCAGACAAGTTCTACGGTTTGAATACCCATGAACCTCCAGGGTCATCATGTGTCCTGTGTGCCATAGACGCACTTGCTGTGGCCGTACTTATGCATGAAAAACTCAGGACAACGGCCTTGGAGCAACTCTGACATCTCAAATCCTGGCATCTGGAATGTCCCCAAGAAATCCAGAGGCTGTTACTGTTTATACTAGAGCACCTGCTGTCAGTTGGCCAGTTCTCCAAGTATGGCCGAGGATCCCTGGGGGTCCCCAAGACCCTCAAAGGTAGTCATTGAGGCCAGCTCTTCTTCATGTACTTCAACCAGAGCAACATGTCACAACCTATTGAAGGTAAAGCAGAGAGGAGACTCCAGCTGTCTTCTGTTAAGACAGATATTAAAGGGATGTGCAGAAGTATAAAGAAATACTACTCTTATGACTAATTTTTTTTGTTTTGAAAAATACAATTACTTTTATTAAGTGTTATATGTGTTAACATAATGAGTTTATTTTTAATGAATAAATATTTAAAATTTTCAGTTTTAATTTCAAGTATGGTAAATATTGATAGATGCCATTGCACAAACAAAGCTTTTTTGGGGGTAATCAGTAACTTTTAAGAATGTAGAGGGGTCCTGAGACCAAAGCACTTGAGAGCTGCTAGTCTAAGCAGACCAGGAGGGTGGAGCCAAGGAAGGACGTGCAGCAAGTTTGGACATGTTGTGGGGTGGGGTGGGCCTTCCAGGTGCCAGCACCTCAGCAGGGGCAGGCAGGGCCCAGGAGGCATTGCATTTTTGACAGGAAAGCTGGGGAGTACAGCCAAAGACCAAGTAGTCCCCTTTAAAAGAAAGAGGGTGGGAATTCTATACACTCTTTCCCATAACTGAGATTTTTCTTACCCTTGCTTGCAGTGAATTTTTTAATATGACATCAGATTAGAAGATTTATGCCTTTCAGACACTATAAAATGTTCTATCTGCTGTCTCAGACCAAAGCAAATCAAATCCAGAGTGAATAAAGATCTAAACATAAAAATACAAACTACAAAAATCTTAGAAGAAAAATATTTTTCGACTATTAGAGAAGACCTTACTAATAAAACAGGAAGCTTAGAAGCCATAAAGGAAAAAGATAGATAGTATTTCATGACATAAAAATTTATATTTTCTGTAGAGAAACTCAAGCAAAGTTTAACGAAGTGAAGATTAGGAGAAAATATTTGCAACACATGTAACAGACAAAGATTTATAGCCATGATATGTAAAGACTGCTTACAAATAAATGAGAAAGAAATAAATGAGAAAACTACAAATAAACTAATACAATTATGAAAAAGAAAAATACAAATTACCAATAACCATAGGGAAAGATCTGAACTTACTAGTAGTTGGGGAAATACAACTTAAAGCAAGATACATATTTTTGCCCATGAGATTAGTACACATGGGAAGGATGAGTGTCCAGTGTTAATGAAGGTGTGGGGGAGCATGCCTTCTCCCTGACAAGAACCTTTTCATAAGGCAGGGTCTCAGTAGCCATCAGCATTTAGAAGGATATGTCCTTGACCCAGAAATTTCAGTTTTAGGAATCTTTCCTATAGTGATAGTAACAAATGTGGGCCAACACACACATTGACACTCACACACATACATAAACAAGCACACACAATATTTTGGTCATAATAAAAAAAAAGAACAGAACACCTAAACAACCATCACTTGGTGAATGTCAGTTCCAGTATATCTGTATTCTGGAATAGATAGCCACCATAAAGAGTGAGGTACACACACACACACACACACACACACACACACACACACACACACACACACACACATTCTTGTTTAAAGATGTCTGTGATGTATTAAGTGACAAAAACACAACAATATATTTGTACAGTGATTCGATTCATTAAAAAGAAGAAAGCTCTTATTCAATAGGCAAGTGCACACAATGGGTGAACTGTGCTCCCTACCCCTAGGATGGCATGGGTTCGGTGGGGGTTCAGGGAGTGCTACAGGCTCATAAAGGGGAACTTATACATTATACACTATTTCCTTCTATACTGCTTAAATTTTAAAGGTCTTCACTTTTGTAATAAAAATCCTTTTCAAATGGAACACAAATATACCCAAATATGTCCATAGAATTATGAAAATATAATTGGATTACTTTGCTATAAATTGTTTTCTGCATAGCTTTCCATATTCAGGAAAAGATGTCCTAGAAAAACATTCTCCAAGTGAAGAATTAACCCATGTAGACTTTGTGGAGGAACCCTCACTGTAATCATCACTTTTCTCTCTTTCTGTGGCCATAAAGCAATGAAGTTTTCTTGAGAAATGAAAACATTCATTAATTCCAGAGTGTGATTTAACTTGAAAGCCAATTTACGCATGTGAACACTCTGCTTTTCATCCACAAAATAAAAATAAAGGTTGGTAAAACAAGGCATTATTTTGGGTTTAGTCTTCATGCTTCATGGCTACCTTTGACCTAAGCAGAATTAACTCCCTGCTTGAGTCAGTGATTGCTCATCACTGGGCCAATAGCCCTTGGGTTGGTTGCTCGCTGCTCTGCACAGATCTTCACAGATCCGCTGTGCTGTACAACTTGTGCTCTTTGGCCAATGTAGGCCTCAGTCCTGTCAGCAGTAGCTGTCCTCATAGGGAGCACACGTGTGCAGGTGGAGCCATGAGTTCCAGAACCTTCTGTTGGCCTTGGTGTGTATGTTCCAGTCATTCAATGATTCGCTCCTTAGTGATGAAGCCACTTAACTACCTGCCAGGCACCGCCCCATGCCTGACACCAAAAATACAAAATAAATAGAAGTAGGTTCCTGAGCATAGTTTCGTATGAGAGACAGACTGAAATAGTACAGTCACATCTTGTGTCATAAGTGGTGAAGTAAGAGATCCAGCCGCATGGCCGGGGAGGCTTCACACAGGCACCATGTGACATGGGCACCAAAAGACGTGGACATGGAGAGGTGACATGAAAAAGCAGAATCACGAAGACAGTGTTTCTGGGTTTAACAAGCATGTCACATCCCACAGCCTGTGAGGATAATGAGGTCGCATCTATATCTGTATCCCAAATGCAAAGGTCCGCATCCTGTTCCCTCTGATTGGGAACAGTCGTGAAGATTTCTGATAATTCCTGGGAGGGGGTTGGGTATACGGAAATTTGGTGGCTCCCTGAAGGGCTTCCTCCCCACAGTAAGTAGATGCTCAAGCCCCTAAGGCTGAACTGGGTATACAGGCCTTCTGGAGGCCTTGCTCTTCAGTGTACAATGTGGATCCTGTGCAGATGTGTTTCGGAAAACTTGACTCAACCATAAAGATGGGTTTAACTTTTCCAGAGAGATTACACTGGGAGAAACAGCTTTGGTTTTGAGAGACTTTCTTAACTCTCCTGGGGGTGGCGGGGAAAGAGGATATCATCTGGCAGGAATGGAGTATAGGGGATGGAGAGCTTTTCGTACCCCAAGAGATGGCCCTCAAAGGTCTGCCTGCCCCACGGAAAGGGGTGGGCCGTGCGGCAGCCAGCCTGTGGCATGCACACTGGTCTGGTCTGAGTTTCATGGGCTGCTCAGTTATAGCACAGCACCTCTAGAAGAATTGCAGGGCCAATGGCGTACATTTTCCTAAGGCCCTTCTCATTACAAAATTGCAAAGAGAAGGTGTGTCTGAGCATCAAGGTTAGTCTGAAAACCAGAAGTCTGTTAAAAAGAGCGCCCCGAGACTGGGCCTCCCTTTATTTGAATGTTATTAGAATCTCAAAGTCTGGCCGTGGCCTTGGGCAGCAGGCTTGGGGAAAAATAGTTTCTCTCTCATAAGGTCCTTGTGAGGACCAGGTTCATACAAGAGGCCTTCAATGTCTGATGGTTGTCATGATCAGAGTCTCTCGAGAAAATGGGGTCTGGAGAACTGAGTGGGCAATGGTGCAAAGGGGCATGTGGTTAACACAGTTTCCACTTTCATTACAGCGGAGCTGGAATTTGCCCAGATCCTCATCATCATTGTGGTGGTTACGGTGATGGTCGTGGTCATCGTCTGCCTGCTGAATCACTACAAAATGTCCACGCGGTCTTTCATCAACCGCCCGAGTCATAGCAGGAGGCAAGAGGACAGGCTACAACCGGTAAGTGTGGGCCTGGGCCCTTCCAGCGCTGCCCAGGCCTCTATCCAGGTCTCCAAAAGTGTGACTGGGTGCCCATGAGGGCCACGAAGCAGGACAGCCTCTCATGTCAGCCCACTGCGGTTCAGAGGTATTGAAAACTCTCTATTGAAGGTTAATATACTTATGGAAAAGCATGTACATCGTGAGTGTTCAGCTCAGTGAAGTCTCACAAACTGAACACACCTGTGTAACCAGCACCCAATCAGGAAAAAGACATGACCAGCCCCCAGAAACACACTCAGGCCCCACTTACAAGCATGCCCCACATAAGGTCATCAGTGCCCAGATGGCTATCGGCACAGACTAGTTTCACCTGCTTTTAAACTTTATAGCAATAGAATCATGTATAGTAGGTGCTCTTTGGTGTCTGCCTTCTTTCACTCACATTACAGTTGTGAGATCCATCCTTGCTATTATGTAGAGACCTATTCTTAAATGGGGTCTGTTCCAGTGATCAATAACGCACTGTGCTCACTACCTGCATTTGTAAGAAACCAACGGGGTTCCACAGTCCAAGGGCGTGGTTGAGCTAGGGGAGTGGTGGCAGGACGGCAGGGGGCCTCCTCAGGTGCATCACAGCAGGTTGGGCTGTGTAGGGGACTCACAGAACTGCCCATAGTGAGGCTCTTCAGGGTGTTTTTTTTTAAGGTTTCTAGCTACTTCTTGCTCTGAGTCACACTCCTCGTCTAGAAAATAAAACACTGATATTCAGTTCACCTTTTTGTTCTGAGCTGCTTTTACAATCTTGGATTCTGGTGGCTTTTAGTGGGACTTGGGAATGGTGAGTTTAGCAATTGTAAATTCTTGGCTTTGGTGGTGGGCAAAGGAGGCAGGATCCTCTCTACACCCCCTGCCCCATGACACTCAGCTCCTCAGAGCGTGTATCAGGACCAGGGCTGTTTGATAACTGGCTTAGGGAGACCATCATGAGTATGGGGGTGCAGCTGACTCAGCGGGTATGGTGCAGCTGAGTCCAGACCCCCTGTGACCTGTCAGGAGGTCAGAGTTATGCTTAATTGGGGCTGCAGTGAGCCATCAGCTCTGCTGTCCCAATGGGTGGAACTGAGGTTTACTGAGTGTTCTGTGTCCGTGGCACACAGGGGGAGAGGGAAGTGATGAGGTTACTGTGTGCCACTCTTTAGACTCACAGAAATGAGATAGGATGCCATGTGGCTACCAGGATCAGTCCTGAGAAAGAACCCCTTTCTCCCTCTTCCTTTGTCTCATCCTCTGCTCTCCCCTTCCTTTGTCTCCTCAGATCTCTGGTTGGGACCACAAGTCCCATCTAGTCCTGTTAACATGGGTTTCATTATACCATGGTGGTTTCCCTGTGGGCCCTCTGTTATCCTAGCAGTCGGGTACCTGCAGGGTCCTGACTCACTGAACACTGGTGTCCTGATGCCTATAGAATCCCGACTGTTATATTGTATAAGGACAGCTCTGTTATCTGAAGGACAGAACTTATTCTTCTGAACACAAAATACTCATAATTCTCCTGAGTTTAAAGAGAGAGAGGACAGAGAGAAAACCTTGTCACAGCAGTTTTAGAACTACAAAAGTATCAGCCATCATTGCTTTGTCTAAGCCTTAATGCAAGGATTATAAATGCTGACCCCCAGCCTTCGGGAGAAATAGGTAAAACTACCCTACTCGTTGTCATCATCAATAGGCAGCTCTCAAGTTTTCAGGGAGTACCTGACATGAATGTGTCCAAGTTCCCCATCTTACACTTTCTGCTCTAAGCCCCAAAGTCCTTGGAGTCACTGCACCGGGGCAACTCAGACTACTGACCCAGTGCCTGGGCCCATCCATCCATATCTTCCCCTCAGATTTGCTTCAGGGGTCATCTTTCTTCCATCTAACTCTCCTTGCCTTGCATAGGTGAGGTGGCTTCTTCTGCCACACCTCAGGGCAGACCTGGCCATGCCTGCTTTCACTGTCCCCATCCATTGTTGCCTTAGCACCTACTCGCTGGTCTCCAACCCCAGACTGGGCACTCCCTGCCCAGTCAGGTGATGGGACGGGCACACATGCAGTCACACCCTTACCAGCAAAAAGGGGCGCAAGGAAGACAATTTTAAAAAGGCAGAAAAACAAAAATATAAGTGCGTTTTTACTTGGAATATGTCTTCTATTCCATTTGGAATTGGGTCTCTATAAAGTCCCTTTTCAGGGGCAACAGTTTGCTTGTGTCCACCCTCCTCCAGGGACTGCTGGGCAGCAGGGCCTCCCTTTCTTGAAATCAAGAAAGTAATTAAGTGACTTTCAGAGGTTCCTTCAGGGCTGCACACTGCATGGCCAAGTGAAGACAACCGATAGCTAATGATTGTGTCCACAGACGTCTGTGCCTAATTTTGTTAATAAACACTTGAAAGTTTTGCCCCTGAGAGTTCAGTCCTAGTTCTGTGCTAGGGGTTGTAGAGATGCAGGCTGCACACAGCATAGGTTTAATTCCTTTGCTATTAGTATGCTCTTTTTTATTTTCTTTGAGCCACCCAGTACAGGTGCTGTTGCTTCTCAAGGCTTGGATTTTCCTTCTCGATAAATGGGAATGTGCATATTGCACAGCTTAGCAATGGGCTCTATTTGACATTTCACAAACACAAGATGTATTTTTATACAATGATGGAGACAATTCAGGCCCAGACTGTAGCTCCATTTCATGACTAGGACCATTCGCCCAGTTCATAGTCCAAAAAGGAAAGAGAGAGGGTGAGGAGGAAACTTGACTTCTCTCCTGCACACAGATGCAAATCTAGATTACACGTGGGTGCAACCACATGTTCACATTCCTCCTACCCAGGAATGTGCTTCTCCACCAGGCTTCTTGGCTCCCAATTACCTACTTCTCCTTCCTAGAACCTCTTTTAAGGAATGCCACTTCCCTTAATACAGTGGCACTCTGGGAGAGCACTCTGATTCATTTACACTCTTGGTTCCAAATCAGGGGTGATTTTGCCCCCTGGGGGCCTTTTGACAATATCAGATGTATTTTGGTGTCTCAACTTGAGGAGAGGGTGCTACAGGGATGCTCTAAACATCCTGCAATGCACAGGGCAGCCCCACAACAAAGAATCATTTGACCCCAAATGTCAATGGTGCCAAAGTAGGGAGCCCCTGACCTCACCAGTGCTGAACATCGCCCTTCCCAGAGGCCCTTCGCTGTGAGAAGAGGATGCCTGTTAGTATAACTGGATCTCTCATGGCTAGCTCTGAGGCTTCCACAGAGTAAAGAGAACACTTCCCAGCAGCTCAGCAGAAAGTGTTGTGGGTCCACTGGGAATCTGCGTGATCAGAGGGTCCTGGTCTGGGACTCTGCCTTGGGAACAGTTTCCCCCAGAGATTTCTGCCTCCTTTGTTCATTCAGTCTTTCACTGGACATGAGCCTGGCACTGAGCAAGATACTGAAGAAACAATGCAGTGTGTCCTTGCCATGCTATGCCTCCAACCCTCCCCACCCCCACCATCAGCAGCATCCACTGTGCTAATGCTAATTGACATTTTTTCAGTCTTGCTGGGGAAGGCCAAGAGTCTTCAATGGCCATTTTCCCCCCCAGTGGCCATTTTTATGTGGGGTGAGCTATATACCAAGTAGATGTAAGCCATAGGAGAGGTTTGGGATGGGGCATAAGGACTCAGCATGGGCAGTTTCAAGTTGCCCTTCCAGGTGGCCCTTCCTCAGCATCCCAAGGTGACCGCCTGTGCCAAGCAGCCTCCTCCTATGAGGGGCTTAGAGGGAGCTGGACAGGGGCATGGCTGGACAGCCATGGCATGGTGGGGCAAGCTCTGCTCTTACTGAAAGACCCCGTCAGTGACGGCCTTCTGTGCTCCCAGGGGCATTGTGCCAATCTGTGCTCCTTGGGGAGAGGAGGATATGCATTTGCAGTTGCTACTACTGTTCATGTGGTTTCACATCTGTTATCAGAGTACCTGCATGTTCCTGAAGTGCCTTTCAGTTTGTCAATATCTAAATCCCGCCTTCCTAGGAGCCTGAATGGTGGGGGCTGCAGCACCCAGCTAGTTAGCAGTGGGTGTGGGTACCCACTGCCAGCCCCACCATGGGTGAGCCTGTGCATTGCTGGGACCCACTCATTTCTGGGGGCCTTTTGGTCCATTTTTTTCTAGAACCATGTGAGGTCTCCATGAGCATGTTAGTAAAAGGTGTATTTATTTTAGATGGGTGCAAGAAGGGTTAGGCATCTAATTCATCAAGTTCTGGTGATTTGGTTTAACACTGTTGGATAGATTTATTTGTATATATTTCTGTTGGAAGACTCACTTGACAGTCAAGATGGAAAAATAAAGGACAATAGTTGGGTTTTGTTTTGGAGGAAGAAGCTGGCTGCAAATGTAGATGCTCTGATTTGGGTGAGTAAACTTCACTGCCCTAATTGAGCTGCCCCTCTCCTCACTAGTGGGATTTCTACTTAAACCAAAAGGGAAAACGAAAGCTGAGGTTAATAACATAGGATCTTAGTAGCTCTGAATATCCCTGGTTCTCAGAGATTCTTCTGGAAAATGGTGGGTTGGATCGGTTGCCCCTTTAGCCAAGCACCAGGCTCATCTTGAGTCTGGAAGGTTTTTCTTGTACAGTCAAAGGCACCTTCTTCAGGGAGGGTGGTGGCCTCACGACCAAATTTATCACTCCCCATCTTCCTCATGTAGCACCATCTCTCCTGGTTCCCTCCCTTGTTGGCTCTAACAGTGCCTGTTGGAAGCACACACCTTCTATGCCAGCTGCCCTCTGGCCAAGGGAGGAATAGATGGAGTTTGCATCAGTTAAGGCCAGTCAACCTTCATCACACAATGTCTCTAAGATACTGTTCTAGGGAGCCCAGGGGATGGGCCAGTACTGGCTCTGAATTTAGTGGAAGTAGTCATTTCTGAATTAGTATGAAAAATTAAATACAGAAAAAGTAAATTATGACAAGCAGTAATGAGTGGGCTTGTGATATAAACCC